TCATCCTTCTGTACTTGTATCCTGCATATTTGTTACGTAGTTGATGTGTTTTCTGCTGTTATTCAAATTTTTGAAAGTTTAAAAGAGAATTTTGGTACATTTTATTGAGTTTTAAGTAGTTTTTTTAAAAAAATATATATAAAAAAAACTAGTTCGGGTTTTTATTCTTTCGTAGTTAATTCAATTAAGGGAATTTAGTTTTCATAAAATATTTTTTTCGTTTAAAAATGTAAAAGACTTGTTAAAATTTAGTTCAATTTAATATTTTTATTTATTTTAATACAATAGTGAATTAAATTTTTTATTTTATTAAATAAAATATTATAGATTGATTGTCATTAGTTTATAATAGATTCATAATTCGACAAACTCTATATTGGCAATCAAATTTTTGATGGAACTATAAAGCTACATTTTGAAATCTGGAAATTTAAAACGAAACGAAGTGGGTATTGTCATTTGCATTTTTGTTCACACAGATTACATTAAAATGTACTATATGCCTCTAAGACTTGAACATGTAATAAGATATATGTTTTCAACTATTTAAATAAAGGGTATTATTTAGATTGAGGAAAATGCATTTAGGTTAGGATAGAAGAGTTATAATGGGTTGGGAATGGAAGATTTCCAGGAGGCCATGGAAGCTTCACATCTCTGACTATAAAGAATTTAATTTGTTAAAACTATAAGGAACTTAATTTTGAAGTTCTAGTTTTGTTTGAAATTTTTAAAATTTGTTAACTAAAATTTTATTGAAAAGTTTATCCATTTATTGTACTCCTTTAACTATAATTTTTTACACGTGATTTGGCCTCTCAGAAATTCATAAAAACTAAATTTAATAATTAATATTATAATCTAGGAGATTTTTAAAATTAAATATTAAAGATATTCTTAACCAGTGCCTGGCAAAGTAAAAACTCCTTTTGTTGAGAGTAAATTTTCATCTACACCAAAAATAAGGAAGATACTTTTGTTTTCAATTAGATTAACCTTTAATTATGTAATTAAATCTAATTAAAAGTTGCTAGTTTAAATCTTGATATTATTTTTTCACTCCTTTATTTAGTAAGGGAGAGAAAAAAGAGATTTTGATTTCAATTAAAATGATAATTATTATATATATATATATATATATAAGAGCATTGTCCAAATCCCATTTCACAAATCTGTTTGAGTGTTTAATATTCTAATGAGCCTTATTTGTCTCTTCGGCTTGGCTGGTTAATCAATGGAGCTTTTCTAGAAAGCCTACAATATTAACGTGGCTATTGTTGTTTAGTTAAGAAGCCAGCAGATGATCTCATTGACAAAGAGAAAGGCCGAAGCTTACAGAGAGGAAGTATGTCATGAAGTGACCAAGTCTGTACATATCTCCACCCATATAAATAAATCATTTTGGAGAATCCATCTTCATTCATTCATTTACATATAGTGTATGTATACATACATATATCTATATATATGTATATATATGCATATACACCCTCAATAATTACATCAAAACAGAGTAATTCTATCTGAATGAGAGATGCAATACGTGATGTCACATAATTTGGTTTATAGCCTATAATAGTTTTTACCTAACTACAATCAACTACCAAAGACAACTTGGATATTTTCAGAATGAACTCACATGAATTTTATATACAAATATGAAAAATTCCAATAGAAATAGAGTCTAACTATTATTTTTAAAAATTCTTACACAATTATATTAGTATTGTTCCATAAATTATCATGTGTTTCTGATTGATTATGTTCGAAGAAAAGGTGGTGATGAACAATTTTTTCTTTTCCTTTTTTTAATATCTATCATACTTTAGAGTTAAAAAAACAGTTTTATAATATAGAATGTTCGTACCCTTTGAAGTTAAAAGTGTCTAACAAAATAAAACTTTAAAAAATATATTCTTATTTTATATTTATTAACATTTTAAATGTGATTTTTTATTTTACCAATAGTCTAATTGTAAATAATATATGTAGCTTTCAACCTCCTATTAACATTAGATAATTTGTGGTTGTCTTCCCTATGTGCTAATTGGCTTCGATAATTTAGAGGTAAACCCAAAGAAAGATAAAACAATAATAAAAACAGAACTTGAAACATGAGTTGGTAAATTATAACTGATAAGAAGAGACTTTGGTTTTATATGAACAGGAATAAAATTTGTGCGAACCGGGAATTAAGCTAGTGAAATCCATTGAGAAAAAGAAAAAACAATAGTACTAAAAGGGTAATTAATATTTAGAGGAAGATATATTCATAGGCCATCAGAAATATACAATCTATATATATATATATATATATAATATAAAGGTATACGTTCACATGATCTCCAAGTAGAGCTGAGAAAGTCCTCTATTGCTTTTCTGTAGCAAAATGTTAGTGGGAGAGGTAGAAGAAAAAGCGCCTGCAAATGAGAGAGGAAGCGAGAATTATACGAAAGATGGGACAGTGGATCTTAAGGGCAGACCTGTCTCGAGGTCAAAAACTGGAAGATGGAGAGCTTGTTCCTTCATTGTAGGTAAATTTTTAACTTCCCGTGCATCATGTCAAGAAGAAGAAGAAGAAGAATTTAACTGTAATTAATACACACACACACATATATATATTATATGTACGTATCTAGACCAGCTTTTTTGAATTGAAAATAGAGCAGCTGAATATATCCAAATCCTTAATAAACCATCTGGGATTCGAGTTGGTACATCAAAACCCTCTTTTTAATTTCTCTTTCTAGTGATCTTTTCACTGTGTATATACACTCAACATACATGCATACATATATGATTAGTACTTTGTTATGAACATGCAGGTTATGAAGTGTTTGAGAGGATGGCATACTATGGAATAGCATCAAACCTAGTGGTTTACTTGACAGATAAACTGCACGAGGGCACTGTGAAATCTGCAAACAATGTCACCAACTGGGCTGGCACTGTTTGGATGACACCAATTTTAGGTGCTTATATTGCAGATGCTCATCTTGGTCGATTCTGGACTTTTGTCATTTCGTCGCTCATCTATCTCTCGGTACTCCCAATTTCATCGTTCTATTTTCTCTTCTAATCGTTTTTTAAATAATTTAATTTGTTGTAGTTTAAACTAATTTCTTACACTACTTGATTTGTGACTCACGCACCATGCACATTCCAACACGTGTTTATGTTGCTGATCTTCGAACAAACATAAACCACGTGAATGATGAAACTTTCTTTTTCATGCCAGTTTATACTTTCATTAATAATATTGTACCTGCATACTAATTATAATACAAAGTCTTGACGAGGAAATATGGAAAGCATAGCCAATTCTAACTCGAACTGCAAAATTAAACTATTATCAGGGTTCTAACTCTTAACTGCACATATATAAAAGATAATATTGGATCATAGCCTTAGCATTTAAAATGATATGTATAAACAGGGAATGTCCCTGTTGACACTGGCTGTTTCAGTTCATTCCCTGAGGCCACCATCATGCGGCCAAGGCATCAAAAAAGAAGACTGCACAAAGCAAGCTTCTTCTCTGCAACTAGGCATATTCTACTCTGCACTGTATATAATTGCAATTGGGACTGGAGGGACCAAGCCCAACATTTCCACCATGGGAGCTGACCAGTTTGATGATTTTGAACCCAATGAGAGAATCCATAAGCTATCCTTCTTCAACTGGTGGATGTTCAGCATTTTCTTTGGTACCCTCTTCTCCAACACTTTCTTGATATACATACAAGACACTGTGGGATGGACTCTTGGCTATGCCATCCCTACACTAGGACTCTTCGTCTCCATTGTGGTTTTCTTGGTGGGCACTCCATTTTACAGGCACAAATTGGCTGTAGGCAGCCCTTTTACTAGGATGGCTAAGGTTCTTGTAGCAGCTGTTAATAAGTGGAAGGTTTCTGTCCCAGATGACCCTAAGCAGCTTTATGAACTTGGTTTGGAGGATTATTCAAATTCTGGAATGTTCAGAATTGATCACACCCCTTCCTTGAGGTTACTACTCTTCACTTTACAAACTTTGAAAAAAATAAAAAATTCGAGTTGAAAAATAATGCAAACAGTTTATCTGCAGATTCCTTGATAAAGCTGCAGTGAAGACTGGTTCATCATCTCCGTGGATGCTGTGTCCTGTGACTCAAGTTGAAGAAACCAAGCAAATGATAAAAATGCTTCCAGTCTTACTTGCAACGTTTATACCAAGCACAATGCTAGCTCAAGTCACCACACTATTTGTGAAGCAAGGCACCACATTAGACAGGAGTATGGGTCCTCATTTTGAAATCCCTCCCGCTTGTCTCACAGCATTTGTAACCATCTTCATGCTCATAAGCCTAGTCATCTATGACCGATATTTTGTTCCCACAATCCGCCATTACACGAAAAACCCTAGGGGGATCACACTGCTTCAGAGAATGGGAATTGGATTCGTGTTGCATATCATTGTCATGATTATAGCTTCCTTTGCTGAAAGGAAGAGACTAAGTGTTGCAAAAGAACATGGCCTTTTTGTTAAAGATGATAAAATTCCTCTCAGCATTTTCATACTTCTTCCTCAGTTTGCTTTGATGGGGGTTGCAGATACCTTTGTGGAAGTAGCAAAGCTGGAGTTTTTCTATGATCAAGCACCAGAAGGAATGAAAAGCCTGGGAACCTCTTACTTCACTAGTAGCCTGGGAATTGGGCATTTTATAAGCAGTCTGATTCTAACAGCAGTTTCTGATATTACTAAAAGCCATGGCAGCAGGGGATGGATTTTGAATAATCTGAATATTTCTCATTTAGACTACTACTATGCATTTCTGGCATTCCTCGGATTCATCAACTTAATTTTCTATGTATTTGTCGCCAAGTCATTTGTGTACAATGTTGATGTTGATACCAACTCCAGAAAGGATTTCCAGGAAGCCATGGAAGCTTCACATGTCTCATAAAATAGTAATAAAATGACAATTAACTTTTATTTCAAGAATGGTTTGATGGCTTATTTATTATAATAACTTGATATCAGTTAACCCTAGCCCAAATGGTCCTTGCTTTCTTAACAAATAAGTAAATTGATCATCCCTAAATTCTCAATCTGCCCTCTTCCATCAATACATTTTTACCATCATTATCCAAACATTTCTTTTTCCAATTTCCACAAGCTTTTAAAGCATATGAAATTTAAAAATTAAAAAAATTTCATGTCCTCAACCTCGACAGAGCCTTCAACACTACTCAAAATTCTTCAAATGAAAGGCCTGAACGAACCTGGGCAGATGCCAAACCAATTGCTCAATACAGATCAGTCGTGGGATTCTCTAAATGCATAATATGCAATCATTTCTGTACAATACACATTCAATAAAGTATGGTATTTGGATTTTATTATCATTGAATCATCTAAGGAATCCATTTAGGAAAATTCTTTTAACAAGAGCCCACCCAAAAGAGAAAGATCTAAAGAACAAGAAAGACCTTTTGACAGTGTAAAACTAAATTATTAGGGCAATAAGTTAGAAGATTTATCTATACTATGAGCCTTTTCTTAGCTTAAAGGTTGTAATTTATATGCTGCCATTGACTCCAAAAGCCAAGTGTGAGCTACTACTTGAGATCCAGTATCAGTAGCCAAATCCTCTGCTTCACTTATCCTCTGCCAAAAGGTAGAAACTTCTTCTCCTAGTATGGACCCTTGTGGAGAATCATTGTTATAAACAACCATGGTTCTCAGAGTTGCATGATCATCAAAATTTTGAGCCACCAGCTCTTCTTTGCTTCTCAAAATAGTACCTCCAGCAACAGCAACTAAATTTTGGAGATCCTCCCTGTAACCCAAGATGAAGTCACCACAGAAGTAAAACCCTAAGCCATTAAAGAGCTTTGGTGCCTATAAAGAAACAAGGAAATCAAACCTTAATTTCAAAGACCAAAAAACATACAGATACTAGATAGCGTAGAGAACAAAAAGGGGTCAAAATTATGATAAGCTTTGAGTTGTCAGATACACAAGTAGAGGAACAAACTGCTCTCCACAAAGGTGTAGAGTGTATATGAAATCTATCAGCATAATGCAAAAAAAGCCACTTACACTCTCATCTGATGCCCTTAATCTTCCTGTCTTTGGGCCATTGCAACAACCATGGTTGTCAAGGCTAACTTCATAAAGTTCTTCATCAGCAAGCTGCTTGCCCTCCATACATGCTTTTATCCCTGCAGTGCCAGATTATAAGTTGTCATAACAGTGGGTAATATAGGAACCAACAAGAAACCATGGAAGGAAAAGGAAAAATAGTGCATATCATCGTAGACAGCTCATCTATTACAAGTCATGGTTGTATTTAATGAGCCTTCTTTTTTCTCTTGTATGTTATATTGTAATTTTGGTGACCACCATTTCTGTACATCCGTCATTAAAATGACTGTCCCCTGCTGCTTTCATACAAGGGTAACTATATGTCAACCAATAAATTATTTAAACGAATCAAAATGAGATAAAAATTAACTATTTTACAAAAGAAAAAAAGTTGAATGATGCTACTATGCCTAATTTTTAGATTTGTTGTACAATTTATCCGAATAGATGTATTATATATCTAGAAACATAAGATTAGGAAGGGTAAAACCATTGAGGCAATCATTATATCTACTCAAATAAAAAGATCCAAAGAAATTGAACTTACAATCAATCTTAAGGACCCATTTTCCATTTAAAATGGCCATGAGAACCTTTAGTGTCCTTTTGCAGGCACCCTTTTCATCTGTAATTGCAATTACATGGGTAATATTTGGCTTCCAAAACTTAGAAACAGTTGCACCAGTGATGCTTGCAAATTTGACCAATAGACACTGCAACAACAGAAGAATGGAAAACATTGACGCAGCAGCTCTAGCACAAAACAAACAAAACAATTCTACCTATGCTAGTATCCAGAAGCAAATCTTAAGAAGAACATCAACAGCTGGAGAAACAATACAATTATAACTACAATTAGCAGCTTTAATACAAGATCTATTTTTAGTAGTATTGATATGATCAATTGATATCAAGATAACTAAAATTGAATGAGTAGCCAAGTGCCGACAAAACTAAAAACATGTTAAAACATGAAGCTAATAGATATCATAAAGCTAGACAGACCAACCTTATCTTTGGAAGACAAATCAGATCCACATAAGACCAATTCTTTTGCTCTATTTGGCATGGATATCAATGAGCTGCTTTGTTGAGAAGTTCTGCATGTAGCTAAAACCATTTAGAAGAAAAGAAATAAATAAAAAGCACTAAAGTCAGTCAAATCAAGCACAGAACACATACTCTAGAAATCCACCAGCAACAATCTAGGAAGTGATCAAACAGGGATTGAAAGAGAGAAAGATGTAAATAAGAGGATCCTCTTTAAGCCCTAAAATTCAACCTTACATTCTGCATTTTTTTCTATTATTTTTCACTTCTCCATTTCTATTAACAAAGACAATTAATTTCTCTGTCCATAATAGCAATCTTGGGCTAAACAATATTAGAAAACTAGATCCTTTTAAACACAGCCTAATAATTAACATAGCTATCCAGCACAACCAAAACAGCAACGCCTACTTCAGTCAACTACTTAAGCACCAGAAAAACAAAGAAGTTATACAGTTGCTTTGGCATAGTAATATCCTTTGCAGCACAGATTCCAGACTTCTCTTTTGGAAATTTGACTGATGAATGAGCTGGACAGAGTAGAAGAAATTCGTCCTGTAGAAAGTAAGAAAGAGCAAGGAAGAGCTCACATCCAAAGCAATAAAAACTTATCAGACTGAAACAGGAAGGACAGAATTTAATCAAATAGCGTTTGCATGTCATACAGTCAAACAAGAAAAATAACTTACATCATCCCATCGGCATTTAGGGATTTCTTTTGCACAAGGAACATGATAGTTCCTCTGACAAGATTTCACATAGCAGCCTAGTGCTGCCCCCTTTAGCCCACATCTAGTGCATTTAAGTTTTGCACCCCTTGCCAATTCTGACTTCAAATTTCTAATAGATTCCCCTTCATAATAAACTCTAGGTGCCCTGCATTTCATTCACCAGTATTTAGTTGATACTCATAAAAGATGAGACAGCAAAAACAAGTCAACAATAACAAAAAGTTGACTGAGCCAATCCAATCTGATGTATCATTTATATCATCAAATTGCTAGCATGACATACCACTCAACGCATGTCCTGTGAACATGAATAATGTTTGAATGGAATACACTGTCTCCTTCCACTTGATGTCCATTTTCATAATGTAACATTTCTCCAGTAGCCTAAGAAAATAACAGCACAAGACACATGTTACAAGACATGGCATTGTGGAAATAATTTATAATGAATATCTTTAGGTATGACATACAGAAAAATAGTGCATGCTTAACAAAGAAAAATCACCTCCGACATTTTGGAGGATTGGCAAAATCCACAGATGGTTTTGCTTGCCGATAGTTCATCAGCTTTCACAGGCAAATCTGGAACAGGAAGAGCTGACCCAGACTTGGGTTCTGAGTCAGAAATAGAGGCCACTGAGCTTGCAGTTAATGGATCAGTTGACTGGAGATTGAAGGCACCAGTGAGATCCATCTCTATTGGTCGATAATTTAGTTTCTTTTGCCTCTTGGCATCCCTTAAATAACCATCAGTTCCAGAGTCAGAACTGTCATATTTCACTTGACTTGTTTCACCATTAAACTTCCTCTTGGCTTGTACAAGAGGATTTTCTGAACCCTGAAAAGAAAAGTGTTTATCCACGAGTAAGATTGAAAGAAGAAAAAGAAAAAACAGAACTAGGTAGAAGGAAAAGCAAAACTTCTTATTTGCAACCCAACTGAGGATGACAATTTCAGTTTTAAACAATTACAATCATATCATGAAATTCCATTTCCAGTACAGAACATTGGGGGTAGAACACAAGAATAACAGGATACATAATCAAATATACAAGGATAAAACGTGCTGAGTGGCTCAAAATCCAGATTAGAAGTGATTAAGCACTAAACATATTGCTACGCAATACCAAGCACCAATTTGCCCAACCAACTTTACAGTTGAAATCAACTATAAGCCTTCGGTAATCCACAATCATATCTAGCTACGTTGGCATTAAAAGCCCATTATAAGCCGCAAGAACTCACAATGTACTATTCTGTGTAGAATATTTGGATACTTACATAATCCAAGACTCCAAAATACTATAGCAACTATTTAACTAAATCCACCCGTTGCATACATCAAAATGAAATATAACACGAACTCCAACAAAACTTTGTTTAATTTCAAATTTGCTATCCATTATCAGATAAAACACATGAACCGCCTGTAATTTTATGGCTACTGCTTATTGAACCTACTAATTCAACTTTACCAATAAGCTTCACATAGAACATAAAACGGGTTAAGAAAAAGAAAAGTTGCATTAACTGTTTAATTCCTCGCATGACCAATTACCTGATCATTACTGTCAATGTCATGTTCCTTAACGTCATCGTAGGAAGGAGAGCTCACTGGTGGAGTTTGATCTGCCTGATTCAACTCTATTCGTCCATTTCTATACTCTTGCAACCTCCCACTTGCTTGTGAATCTGGTAGTGGCAAATTCAGATTCTGAGCTGCACCAATTTCTTCTCCTTCCTTATTGGGTACCTCAAATTTCTCACCTTTGTCACCTTTGCCTACATTATCAATTACACCGCCCTTCCCAATTCCATATCTGGCCGACTGTAATTGCACCATATTGGCAGAAAAAGCAGCATCCATTGATTTATAGATGTTTATGATGTTCTCCATGAAAGGTAGATCTCTTAGATCTGCCAAACACAATTCGTTTAACCACATAACAAGCTATATATCCCAACTTTCACTATAAATAATTCAAATAATACACGAATCCCGCCAAATGTATCTGTGCTAGCATCATTACCAGAAAATAATGCTTACATAAATAAAGGAACAAAAGTCGAATTGAAAAGCTATACCTCGGTTTGCATGTTGAGATTTGCATACGGGGCACTCCAGGCCAAACTGTGCCGATATGGGTATGCATGAACTGCAATAATTTGACCAAAAAAAAAAAGAAAAGAAATCCAATATTACGAAAGGATTAACAAGTTGCCAGCTTTAAAAAAAAAAATTGACGAGATCAAAGAATTGACTAACTGGCAAAAGACATGGTCACATGGCAGCAACAATGGCCGACTAAACAACTTCAAGCTGAAACGTTACCAACCATAATAAGACAAAGACGAACGTCAGAATAAATGGAAAACTGGGAAGAATTTCGTTATGGGATGAAAATGTGAATGGAATTCGAAAAAAAAAAAATCGAACCAAAAGGGGAAAAAGAGGTGAAGGAATAACAAACCATAGAGGGCACTTGAGCTCGAGACCCAGCTTTTGAAAATGAAGAATCCAAGGGTTCATTGCCCTCTTACAGTGCTCATTAAAATCACCCATCCCTACCAAAACAAATCTTTTGCTAACTTCGGAGCTTTTGATAATTCAAAACGTTAAAGAAAAACGAAGATGTTTTCGTTGTATTTTTCTCTGCCCTTTCACTGTCTGTGGAAGCTAGAGAGGGAGAGATGAAAATGGAGAGGGGATAGCTTGTAGGCAATGATAAGGCCTTGATCGTTGCGTGGAGTAAGATTAGGACACGTGTACGGATGGGATAAAATGAAAAGTGAAGGCGGGTAAATCTGAATTCGGGTGGCGGAATCTGAAGCGTTTTAAACTAAGTTGCGCGCTCTTTTTTTCAATTGCTCCACCGCGAACGGCTCCCGCTAAAAACAATAAATTTCGAAACTCCTAAAACAAAAAATAAAGTACGTAAAAAAATATTCGTCTCTTATGTATTTTTGTATATTTTAATATTTAATTTTATTTAATAATAATTTCATTTATCTATTAATTTTAAGTAACTAAGATATTTAGTAGATTAAAAATTATTATATTTAATAATTAACGTAGTTTAAGTTTATTTCATAAAAATTTATACTAATTTTTTAAAATTATTATATCCTCGTCTAACTCGATGTTTATGTAATAATGGGTCTGAAATTTAGTACAAGATAAATATTTTTATTTATAAAATATATATATAAATAATTAAAAATATTATTTTAATTTTATTTTATTAAATTTTTTGAGAAAAATTAAGTTAGTAACGAAATTAAAAGTAATTTTGCGGAAGATAAAGTGAAATTTTGAGTTCGATAGGTATTTTTAAAAGACAAATTAGAAACAAATTGTTAAAATGCAAAAAGAAAAAATTCAGCCACGTGAGACAAACTAATCAGCAACCACGTCAAACCAGAGCACGCCGCGTGGCAAAATACGCTAACATCGGCACCACACGAGCGATTCGATGATCCATATTTAATCTCGTGTACGTAAACTGACTCATATGCATTCTATCTTTAGACACATCGAACAGACACGATCAATCGCAATTAACAACACAGATTCGTCCATGCAATCGACCTAAAAAGGCAACGATCGGACAGCTCTTCTCACTTCACGTCGACGCAAATAAACGACCCAGATTGACATGAGATAGGTATTTAAACATTGTATCACAGAAGAACTCTAACCCTAGCCACACCTGCACTCGCTGAAGAATAAGGACCAGCAGCCGTAGAAGGAGACTAACCTCCGACCGCCGCTGCATCGGAACCACCGCTGATCACCGAAAAAAGTAAAATTCTTCTATACTTGCTTGAAATTTGATTCCGAGTCTCCTTGTGGTCATATTAGAGTAAAAAGGATGGCGGGTGAGCCAGAAACAGCGGACACTGTCCAATGAAGCCGCCGCGGTAAAAATCTTAAATTCCCTCCGATGAATCCCTTTCTATTTTTCGTTTCACACAATTTTACAACCATTGTGTTCACCGTCATTTTCTGTGCAGGTTAGCTAAAGAAGAAACTCTAGCCGCGAAGAAGAATCGGTGGAGTCGCCTCACCCAGAGACCCCCCTCCCTCTCGGTAGGTTTAGTTTTTTGTGATTTTTTTACCAACCAAGGCCTCATAATGTATTTTTCCGTAGGGATATGTATAAAACTAGTAAGGTTAAGGCGAACCGCCACCGTAGGTGGCGGAGCCAGTGTCGGAGCATGGCATTGCTGCCGTACCATAATTCTAAAATTGGCCGAAAAGCATTTTCAACACCAATTTTAGATTTTTTTTTTATATTTTTAGGTACGTGACAAGTATTTTGAATTCTCGCAAGAAAAATTTAAGAAACTCGAAACTTATTATGAGATGTAGTAAATAGCACGATGTTTCGAAATACTGATCTGTGTAAAGATCCCTCACTCTATTATCGGTTACAGTAAATTGAGAATTAATAATCGATAATTGTATGTTTTATGAAAAATTAGAGAAATTCTATAAATATTACAGGTTACTAGTGGAGCCAAAAGTGGTTATTTCACATTTGTTATAATTCCTTGTTTATTTTCATGTACCGCCTATATTTGCTTACTATTATATTGTGCGTAATTGAATTGATGATTTTTATAGTCTTATCGATTATTTGGTAATTTGGTTCGTCATACATTGTTTGTTCGGTATTCTATTTATTTGGTTATTTGGTTATGCTAAATTTTATCGCTTGCTTAAGTATTATTTGAATTAATATGTGAATATGAAATGAGATGTTGGTATATTTTAGTGGTTGTTTACATTATGGGAATCTAAATAAATAAAAGCTTACTGGGCATATTAGGAAATGGTTGACGGATTTGATACATAAGGAACTTTATCGTAGACATTACCTCAGTTGAATGAGGCTGATAAGTCCCATACTATAAGAGTTTTGAGATATATGGTTCAACCTAATACCGGATGGAGTATCGACATGATAGTGTTTTTAGCACTCATTACTGGACGAGATATGAAACGATCAGGTTAATTGTCAAATCTTGATACTAGGTCAACGAGTAGAGAGATATTTCTATGGACTTCTAAAGGTCCCAATAGGTAGGTTAAAAATGAATGGTTGTTGATCATATGCATGAAATTGAAATTGAAATGTCATTTGGTTAATTGTTTTCATATGTGGATTTTAGAAAAAAATTATAACTGTAAGTATCAAATAAAAAGTTTTAAAGTTAAATGTATTTACTTAAAATAAGAACTCCATTAGTTGTTTTTTTTTATTTTTACTAACTTTCGATTTTTCTTATCAGTGATTAGTGTGATATTCTTACTAAATTAGTATAGTTCACAATTTCATTAACCATTTCAGATTAAGAAGATCAAGATGCAGATCTTGATCAGCAGGAGGGCTGTGAGTAGTTCATATTCTAGACTCATTTCAAATGCTAGCGAAAGTTACCCATATGATACTTATTTATTCATTTTTTTTAATTACTGTTTGTCTTTTTATAAACAATATAGAAATGATAAATCCGCAATCCTATTGGACAATTCAATTTATTATATAAAAAATATAAATCATAATATTATTATTTATTTATGCATTTAAAATATAAATTCATTTCATTTATGGTTTCCAGTCTTTACAGTTTAAGTATTTTCATTTTTTTTATAATAATTACAAATTTAAATTATATTTTATACTTCATATGCATACTTGCTAAAAAGTTAATTTGAATTAAATTGTATATACTATGTATATATTTATTATAAAAATAATAATTACATTATTATTATTAGTGGGGTCTATATTATTTAATTATTAGAAAATATAATTTAATATATACCATAGTCTTTGTATTTTAAATTTGTATATTTATTCTCTAAATTAATAAAAATATAATAATATTCTATTTAGATGATTTTTATGATAGGTAATTAATATAAGGTAATGTATGGTAAGTGCGGAAAATAGTGATTATAAAATTATAATATGTTTAAAAAAATAATATATTACTATATAATAATGATAACTGTTTTGTTTGAATTGATATATTTGTATATTAAGTTAAATTACTAATTTGCTTATGTTTGATTGTATGTAATATTAAAAAAAAATATGTTTAATTTGTAATTAAATTATTTAATTTAAAAAATTATTTAAATTTAATGAATACTCTTTTATATAATTAATAAATTATCTAAATACTCTTTTAACTATTTTTTAAAAGTACACTAAAACATCACATAAATTTTCTCTTTAAATTACAAAATCAAATGAAATTCATCCTTTTCCATCTCCCGTTCTCTGATTTCATGTAATATTCAGAGTTTCTTCAAGTCTTCACAGCTTCCACATCCTTTTGATCATTGTCAATATTTTTCATAACATCATCTAGACCTTGCAGTGCCAAAGGGTTTTCTTGTAAAGAATCAGATTGAATTTTTTTCCTTCCAACATCATCAACCTTGTCAATCAAATTATCATCAGATACATCAACCTCCTTGTTAATCAGGTCATCATTTTTAATAGTTTCAGATGACTCTCCTTGAGCACTGACCCCTGCATTCCATATTTCTGTATTGATGGCAACTGTAACGGCCTCAGCCGCGTCTGACGCCATGGAATCATCCGAAGAACTTCTAACTCGTTCACAAGAAGAGTCATTTTGACTCTCAATTTGGTTTTCATGTGCTTCCTCTTCAGAATTGTCAATACATTCATTTGAAACCAAGTTTTCTCTCTCCCTCAGTAGCATCTCAATGGTTTCAATGGCAATGGATTTAGCCCATTCACAATTACAGAGATCTCTGCTAAAGGAAGTTAAGAAAAAAGAAACAAGGGTTCAGTTAGTGTGGTTAAACTAACGAAATAGATCTTTGTCTTTGAACTTGTCATAGAAATACTCATCTCATTGATACAGGACAGAGACTAAAAAAGAAAAAGAGTAAGGAAAGACCAAGAACAGGAAATAAAAGGACAAATCAAAGGAGAATGTAAAAGTGATCCGTTGTATTTGCATCACGGAGACAAAGATATGTTAGCAATTGGGAGAAACTTTCAGATCTTACCTCTCTGTTCTTCCTTTACCATTCAGAGCTTATTATACTTTTAAACCTCAATGACATATGTATCTACTGAAAAAGAACTTAAATCATCACCTTTCAGGGTCCACTGCAGCCAAACTAAGGGCTGATGTCATAAGATCCAAAAGAACCAAGGGGCTGTTGGAGAAATATCCTCCATATCTTGCAATTTCCACCAGAAAATACACATTCACAATAAACTGTTCCTGTATAATAACATAAATTAAGTGTATATAACGATGAACAAACATTAAAACAAAACTATGAATTATACATCAAATGGATACTTGTGGCAGTAATGAAATAATAGTTACGCCATAATGTCCGTAGGGTCCAGTTGGCAGCTAAATTTCTATATGTATGAAATGATTTCTTTTACTACAGAAAAACAGACACATGAATCACCTTATTGAAACTAAAGATACAGACCTGATTGAAACTCTCAGAATCTTGGACTGTCAAATTCTCTTTACCAGTTACCCAAAGCTCTATGTTGCTTGAAATCCAAGAAAATGTGGCCTCCATCAACTCTCTCAGTAGTTCCATCAGCCAATCCTTCTCCAATGTATTTTCTTCAGCAAATTTATCTAACTTTCTGAATTCTATAAACAATTCCTAATAAACGCACAACCAAATTTAAACCATCGAACAACATATTGTTTAGACATCAAACCAAAATCTTATCAACTGCTCAAAGTCACTTATGATACATATAAACATTTGAGTTTTTGGTTTTAACGTACTGAAGATGGAAGGTACTCAATGTTTTTCATCACTTCAATTAGTAGATCACTAACCAACCACCAATAACCTAAATAGTTAGTACATACCTTCTTCTATAAGAAATTGTGGGTTCAAACGGAACAATATTTTTATGTATTTTGGAAGTTGTCTTTTATTGTATTATAACTGATGTTTATATATTATCTAATTAATGAATGTATGAATTTTTATAAAAAAAAAATTAGTAGATTGCTGAAACAGTTCAAAGGACTCCAAAAAAAGGATTGAAATTGAGATAAGTACACTAAAGGGATAGTTGTACCATTTATAAATTAGTCACATGAGTTTCAAGTATAAAATAAAAATAAAGCATCATTATGGTGAAAACTTTAGTTAAGAAGCTTTTGGAGAAATGGAGTCATTTATATAATCCTAAATTGCTGAATGCTGACAGTATTGCTCTTTCATTGTTCCTCCAATGCAACTTTCCTCTTTGGAGGCTCTAACTGATAAGGTTATAAAATGTTTTCGAAAATAAGGATATCTTATATATATTTAGGAGAAGGTGTAAGGACATACCTGAAAGATGACAGATGGCCGCACATTGTGAGGCAATCTATGGACGGTATCAGTGGGGGTTTCTGATGCAAGCCTAGAGCCAGATTCAAGAGACATAATTCGACAAATAAACTGCTGACAGAAATGAGCTCTGAGCTGGCTAGTAGACTCTTTAACAAGGTGTATACAATTATCAAGGTGCTGAGAATTTGAATTCCTGACAAGGTCTTGAACAATGAACGGAAAAAGCTGTTCTAGTGTTGACAGATTTGCGAGTAGAGAAACCTGCTGTTCTGGTAACCTGGCAAAATTTATTCTTGGATCACCTTTTTCTTCAATGTAGATTTCACAAATAAGGGCCTTTTCAAGGATGAGCATATACTCCATAAAGAGGTTTGTGAGTTCCTCAAGGATAGAAGCTTCCATTTGAAGGAGAAGCAAAGGAGTAGTACATTCGGTGATAGCCTGAAAAAGCATAAAATGTTAGTAAAGTTGTTCTCAAAAATGTAGGTACAAGATATAGATAACAGGATAATTCAAACGAAAAACATGTGAACATTTAAGCTTCTTTGTGTTGTTCAATGAACCTTGTTACGCCTAATTAGCGAGATGCCACAATCTATGCAAGGCCTTTAGCCTCCTCGTAGAGAAAACAAGAGATACATGATATGTCAGTTTCATGTTAGTTGGCTTTTGTAATCATCTTTCTAGATCTAATCAAAGGAGAGTGAACAAAAGATACACGGTATGTCAGTTTCATGTTAGTTGGCTTTTGTAATCATCTTTCTAAATCTAATCAAAGGAAAACAAGATTTGCATGCTTTGCAACTTGGGGAGTCCTCAAGCATTAGGAGCCAAAAGGAAACTGTTCCTGAAGCTCACTTTCTTTTCCAGCAGTCACCATTGTTTACAATATAGAGATTCGTTGTACGTAGCCAACTAAACAGAATTAGATGCAGAAAACACCAATATATCACATGGTTATATTAAGCACAATTTTCAACTCTTAGAACCAAAAAGTTGATGGCTATTCCTGAAATTAAAGTTTTCAAACAAACCTGCAAGAGTGTTAAAAATTTTTGGCCACTTTTAGTGAGCAGGCAATGCTCTGGTTGTTGCTCAATATCAACATAAGATATCAACATAAGATATCTACCCAAAACCCAAGCATCAGCTGTTGCAAAGCTGCCAATAACTTTCTTGAAATGCTCTATATGTGTCTGTAGAACCTCTTCCATACAAGGACGAATCTGGTTGATCAAGCATGGCTGCAAAATTAGTCCCTGGGCTTCTAACAAAGAACAATATGACAATGCAAACTGCACACCTTCCACCGCTGTAGACAATCCCCCACTTGTTTCTGCAATGGACTTAACATATTTACTAAAAGAAAGAGCAAATACCTCAGTTTCTTCACAGGCCCACTGAATAAGTTCTGAAGTATAAGAAGTTTCTCCATATACCATTGCAAAACTTTGTGCTGCTTGAGACATCATGGAGAATATAAACCTTGAAAGTTCTTTGATGTACAGCCCATGTAAAAGTGACTTCGAACACTGCAGTCTATGTATTCCATTCATGACCCGTGAATGGTAATATTTTAGCAATAACTGTGTTGCAAGATGATTGTCATCAAGTCTGTGTAACCCTATTAGTGCCTTTTGAAGCTCTGGTGCTGATGTTCTTGGGTTTCCAGAAACCAATTTTAACCTTGAGGTAACCATTGCCTTTCTTTCAGAAATTTCTGAGTTATATAAAGTCAATACATTCGAAGAAAAAAAGTCTTTTAGCTTTGCTCTCTCTAAATTCTCAGCTTCCATTACTAAGATATCTATTACCTCACTGATTCTGTTTTCTGACAGTAAAATATCCAGAGTTTCTGAGACATTTTTTATGTGAACTTCCAACTCGCTAGATGAAGATTCTTCTGGCTCTTCATTAACAATTGAATCTATCATCTCCGTTGATAGAACCTTTAAATATATGCCATCTATTAGGTCTTTAACAAGCCCTTTTTGGGTCGAAAGTTGGACTTTCAGTTGCATCAGTTCATCTTCCATGTGTTTCGCTTCCTCAAATATTCTGCACACATTCAAACTGTGGCTAATACCTAATAATTTATGAAGATATATACTTAAATAAGCATGATCATGACATAACATGAAAACTAAACACTTTGGATCTTGGTATCTTTGCATTGCACACATAACAAGACGGTAAAAAAATGTCAAATTCTATACTCATTGTTAATGGAAGCAAAATTTCCTAACAATAGCTATTTTAATTCTCAACCCCAAGATCATAAGGGTAACTAGAATCTTACAAGAAGCAAGGAAAGAACTCTGCATGACATGGTTTTCTATTGCATACGTACAAACATAAGGAAGAAAAGCAGAACCTTTCATCTTCATTCTTAATCGGAAAACAAATCTTATAACTCCAATATCTTGCTCTCAGTACCTAAAGAACAGCTACATAAGAGGAAATGCCAAACACATCCAAATCTTCAAAAGAGCGCGAATAACCTTGCACAACCAAATAAATGTCACTGGAAAGGGAATAAACTATGACTCTTCAATTCTATTTTTTTTTTTTAAAAAAAAACAAAGATAAAAGAAAAAACTGCAAGTTATGTTGTGTTTGGTTTAAGATTATTGTGTTCTTCTTTAATTTTTCAATATTGATTCTTTGATAGGTAGAAATTAGTTAAAATTTTGTATATTTAATACATAATAAACCAACTTCACTCGTATGTTAAATTCTATAAAGATGGACTTCTCTTCCTAAGAAAAATTATCAAAACAACTACCAACAATTGAAAATGGTATTTGCTTAGAATTAGAATAATATTTTTATTTGATTCTTTATTTTTATTTATATCATGTTCTTATTTTTATTTTTTGAACTGTTGAACAAACTCAACCAAGAGTATCAAGTCGCATTTGGTTCAATTCCCATTTAATTTATAATTAACTTACTGGTTTTGATTCTCATACTAGTCTTAGTATCAGAAAATATAAGAATTAAACATAACAAATTCTGTTCTGATTGTAGATGCGACTAATCTAAGAATTAGCATCCAAACCCAGCTCAATATAAGGTAGAAACAGCAACACAGCCAAAACACGTCAATAATAAAAGTCTTATCTCTGAATCTACACTGAAGTTAAATAGTAAACGTTTATTTAGAGGAGAACAAAATCTCAAAATCTTTAATACCTAACAAAGGCAGAATAGTTCGAGAAGATATTCCTATGGAAATCTTCATCTGATGCTACTTTAAGTTCGAGAAGCTCTGAACAGAGATGCGCAATCCCCTAAAACAAACGAAAAGAAAAACTTTAGCAAACACTCTCTTAAACGTTTTCCTTTTTCAACCGAAGGGTGAAGAGGCAAAATGGAGAATTACCTGTCCGGTCATGGACTCTACTTCGAGCTCTTTATCATCGAGTGAGAAATACGGGGAGGAAATTCTGGAGCTAGCACTAGAATCTATGGAGTTCTCCATCTTTAGGTGATCCCTGGACCGGAATGTGGAAGAAGATTCCATTTTCTTGGAGGTCGGTGTCTATTTCGATCTTGATTCCTTTGGAAACAAGCACAACCTGAACCATTAACGAGGAAGAACTGAATCACATACTCCATCTGGAAAATCAATCTTTAGATGTTTCCGCCGTCGTTTTGCGCCAGTGCCGGCCGGAACTTCGGTTCCTTCGTCCCCCAATGACAACCAATCTCACCGTTGCCGCCATTTATAAATTTCAGTCCTAGCCACGTCGTTTGGAGTGACATCAGCAAATATCAAGAGAGTAAGAATAAAAAATCTATAAATCTAAAATAAGTGTGAGTCAAATATTGATTTAATAAATTTAGTCGCGCTAGTTACGTTATATACAAATAATTAATGTTTAGTTTTATTTTTCATTTTATTTAAATTAAATAAATTTAATAGTGGAATACTAATTTATATTTATTATTAAATTGTATATTTAAAAATTATTTTAAATTATATTTTATTTTAATAAACATTTAATATTTTTAATTAAAATTATTTAAATATTTATAAAATTTTTAAAATTAAAAAATAGTAAATAAACTGAATAACAAATAAAAAATTTTACCCTCAAGGCAATGATAGATAAAAAATTTTATATCTACTGTATTAAAGAGTAAATATGAATTTATATTTTTATAATTGACAAACATATAAATTAATGTATTTATTTTATATCCGTCAAATTAAATAAAATTTAATGATTATATATTTATTTATTTATTTTTATAAATACATTGCTCAAATCCCTAAACTCTTTAGGCTCTAAATGCGATAAGAGAACATTTTATATAGACATTTTTATTTTTAATCTTAAGTCAATTTATAATTTTTAAAATCTGAATAAATAATTATACCAAACATATATTTTATATAATAGATACAAGTATTTACTATTATATCTAAATTAATATATCATATATAATATTTTAAATAATGTTTTCATTAAAAGATTTAAATTTAATTTAAAAATATTAATTTTTAATTACATAATATTATTTTATTTACTTATGTATTCTAATTACACATTTTAACATTGTTTAATACACTTCAATTTATGAGATAAGTATACATATTTTGTACTTACACATTTACGATTATTCTCGTTCAGTTAATTTTTGATAATTGGTACAATGTAAATATACTAAATTGTACAATTTAATTGTTTGTCTTAATATTTTTAGTTGAATTATTTTTTACTGTACGAGACATACCAATTATTATACATATGGAAATAGTTGAGGTGCAAACTATAACATATGATATACAAATTGTCACTAATGGAGCTTAAAATTACATGTAGAATGTGACTTTCAACTAACGATCAATACATTCATATTCATGTTCAAAGTTGAAATTTGAACTCATTTTATTATTTTATTTTTATTAGTCATTATTTTTACAATATTTTTTACTTTTTAAATTTATTAGAATCATAATGTAACGCACCCGGTTTTTTTTTTTTTTTTTTTTTTGGGCTTAATTAACAAACAACAAACTTTCATAACCAAACGGTCATGCACAAGGAAACAATAGCATAATCCCTCATTCAATGATTAAAATAATCATACAACCATGTACAAGACACCTCATACCATACAACCATACTCAAAATCTATGTTATCATCAATTCTACATATTCCATTCAGACAAAATAAAACGAAACTCCTCATCCTGTACTCTACACACTAGGATTGGAATCCAACGGCCTCGATCCGGACTCCGTCCCTACATCATCTGTAAAAAGGAAAGAGTGAGTTCTTTTAACTCAGTACAGTAAAACTCAAAATACATGCGTGAAATGCAACAATATAAATCCTATGCCTCCACCAATCGTTCACTACTGAACTCAACATTTTCCCTCCTGCACCTACTATTCTACCTACCCTAAGCGTTCGTTCCTGACGGCACTCCAGGCGTGCCAGGGATACCCTTCACCGCCAAGATTGGCAACCATTAACCACCTATCGACCCCTAGTGGGCCACACACGTACACCAATCTCACTCATTTCCATTACCAACAGCGGCGACCATCCGTCACCTATTGACCCTATATCAGGCCACGCACGCACACTTCAATCATTCTCTCCCGTCACCACCTTCGGCGACCGTTAGCCATCCCCCGACCTATACCAGGCCACTCACACACACACACCATTTTCATTCACTTGCATCGCCATCATCGGCGACCGTTAGCCATCTCTCGACCTATACCAGGCCACTCACACACACTCTGATCATTCTCTCCCATCACCACCATCGGCGACCGTTAGCCATCTCACGACCTATACCAGGCCACTCACACACCATTTGATCATTCTCTCCTGTCACCACCATCGGCGACCGTTAGTCATCTCACGACCTATACCAGGCCACTCACACATACACTGGTCCTTCTCTCCTGTCACCGATATCGGCGACCACTAACCACCTCTCGACCTATACCAGGCCACGCACGCACACCTGCGACATATCCTAATTGCCGACACTCACTCCGTCTCTCTTCCCCCAAGGTTCCAACTAACCAACTCCACTTCCCAAAGCGTTTCACTCCCCCGGTGGATCTCCCTCATCCGGTGGATCTTTCCTTTCTCTAACCTTCACTCCCCGCCCCTTCCTAACTCTCTCTCTCTGCTACAATCTCCCGCCACAACGTCGCATCACACCATCCTTCTCACCTCACTCACCCCGCGGGTTCTTCCTCCCACCAGCGTTCCTCCACTGCCTTCCCCTATCTCTCCCTCGGCTACAACCACCCGCCACACCATCACATCACACCGTCCTTCTCGCCTCACTCACTCCACGGACTCATCCCTTCCCCTGCTTTTCCCCCACTGCCTCTACCTATCTCTCCCTCCGACTACGTCCTCACACCACAACGTCTCCCTATCTCCCTCCGCGTCGCTCACACCCCTCACTCACCCCCACACCGTTTCCCGTCCGTACCGTCACCTTCTCACTCTCTCCTCCCGCGATCCTCACGCGGTTACCTCTTTCGTTTGCACCTCTCCTTTCTCTCTCATGGCCTCCACTCATTCCGCGCTCTTATCTCTCTCCCTTACCCGTACCGCCACCTTCTCTTTCTCTCCTCCGCGATCCTCCCTCGGTCCACTTTCTTTCCCCTGCCTCACTATACATTCTCACCCGTCCCTTCCGTACGTCACTACCTCCGTAACCCGTGACTACGCACGCTACACATCCAACCATTTCACACTCAAATCAACACACAAATTTAGAGTTAATTACCGTACCTCCCGTTTCCATTTTTCTTCCTTGCGGCCGAATCTGCTCTCACCGTCCACGATCTCCTCTTCTCCCCACTCCGCTTCCTTCCTCTCTCCTTCTGGAACCTTCTTTCCTCTCCTCTTTCTCTCTCCCGCTCCCCTTCTCCTCTGCTCCCCTTTTTCCCTCTTTTTATTTCTTTTCCTCCTTCCTGCCTTCTCCCGCCTCCTACTTGAATCACCCCAGTTTTTTTTCTCAAAATGTGTCGTTTTCCTCCTTGCAAAACGACGCCGTTTTCCTCTTTCCAAAACGACATCGTTTCCTCCCCTCTGCAAAACGACATCGTTTTCCCTTCCCTCTCTCTTTTTTTTTCTTTTTTTTTTCCTTTCCCCAATTATTACACATAATCTAGTAACTTATATACTTATAAAAATAAATATACATAATTTGAATAGACAATATTGTATTAAGATATTATACTTTTTTGATTTCATTCATCGTACATGATGTTTTTCTCTATGCTCGCTTAAATAAATTTTCACATATAAAAAATATACAATTTGATTAATATGTATTTGTAAAGGTCTGAAACTCAAAAGAAATAAATTTATATTTTTAAAATGCAGAAACGAACAATGAAGTTATAGTTTACATTCCTTACATAGTAAATTAGAATGTCCAATAGGGTTACAGTAATGTCTCTTATATATTTGTTCATAAAAAGACAAACGGTAATTAAAAACAAATAAATAGATATCCTATGAGTTAATCTTCACTCGCACTTAAAAGGTATCTGGGAGGTGAACTACTCACAACCTTTTTACTAATCGAGATTTGAATCTTGATTTTCTTGATATGAAATGGTTAATAAAATGATAAGCTATACTAGTATAGTAAGAATATCACACTAATAACTGATACAGAAAATCAAATGTTGGTAAAAATTATAAAACAAATAATGAACCCATTGAATGAAGTAAATAATTTTAACTCTAAAATGTTTTATGGTTACTGTTACAAATTTTCCTAAAAACAACATATGAAGACAAATAGCCAAGTAAAATTATAATTTTGTACATAAGATCAGTAATTCTTCATTTTAACCTACTTACTAGGACATGTAGGGGTACATAAGGATATCTCTCTACTCGTGGACCCAGTATCAAGATTTGGCAATTAACCTGGTTGTTCATATACCCCGTCCGATAATGGGCGCTAAAAACATCATCGTCTCGATACCCCGTTAGGTATGAGGGTGAACCATATCTCCCAAAATCCTTCCAGTATGAGATTTCTCAATCCCGTCCAACTGAGATAATGCCCATGGTAGGATTTTATATGTACCGAGTTCGTCAACTCTTTTTCAGGATGTCTAGTAAGCTTTCATTTATTTAGATTCTCATCATTCAAATAATCATCAAAGCATACCAACATTTCATTTTATACTAATTAATTTAAACAGTATTTAAGCAATCAATATAGTTTAACATAATCGAATAACCAAGTAACCAGATAACCAAATAAACAATGCAGGAGGAACTAAATAAACTAAATAATCGAGAAGACCATAAAAACTATCAATTTAAATATGCACAATATAATAGTAAGCTGTTTAGGCAGTACAAAAAAATAAATAGGGAATCATGACAAATGTGATCTAATCGATTTCGCCTCTACTAGTGATCAGTAATTATTTTTAGAGTTTTTCTAAATTTTCATAAAATACACAATTTTCAATTATTAATCCTCAATTTACCGTAATAGAGAGTAAGGTGAGATATTCTTATTCGAATTGGTATTTCAAAACGTTGTACTATCTACTACGCCTTCTAACGGGTCCTGGATTTTCTGAATTTTTTATACAAAAATCAAAATACTCGTCATGTACCTAAAAATATCCCAAAATTTTGAAATTGACGTTGAATACTCTCTCTGACCTATTCTAGGGTTCCAA